CACCTCAAATCTTGAGCCTATGATTTGGCGCAACTTTAATATAGATTGGCAGTATCATTGGCAGTATCATTTCAATTGGCAGTATCATTTCACTATTTCACTTGGAAACTTAAATAACTCTTTTCTTGCGACTTCCAAACAAAATCAATTTCCATTTAGTTCATCTACAATACACACATCCGCCATATCGTCGACCGTGTGCACAATCCTTCTAAAGTTCAAGAGCTGCAATACATAATGAAATATGATCAAGTCTCTAGCGCGTTCATCATCCTCCATTTCAGGCATGAATATATCATGATGATGATTATCATCCTGCATTTCATGGCTCTATGAATATTTTAACTCGAGCAGTGTTAGTTAACGGACAAGCATCTCGCATATCATTTAAGAGTTAAGACGCTTTATTGCGCAGGTCAGCTCATAAATAAAGTCATTCATACAGTGTGAATACCATCAGCAATGTCTTCAAATTAAATGCAGGCAGAATGACTTGTGCATTTGAGTCTTGTTAGAACTTTAATGTTACTACGCCTCAAAAGCATACAATTAAGCAGCATAATTCTAGTTTAACTATGCGTCGAGATCACTACGAAGGTCTCAGTGAAGATCTCAAAAATGTTGCAAAAAAATAAAAAAGATTTAGGTACCGAATTTTTGTTTGTTGTCACAGAAACAATTAAAAGCGGTAATATAACAATAACTAACACATAATCATAAATTTACTCACCACATTGTTGCGGCTTAAAGATATAGCTGAGTAGTGAGTAGGTATGGCTCAAAGATATAACTGAGTAGATGTGTTGGGATGCCTGCATCCCAACAATAAGTTGGGTTGAGTTATTTATATTTATTATAAATAATAAGTTGAGGTTCTCAACATCATAAATGGAGATTCACACGATTCCGACTAGTTCAATTATTATAAAATCTTCCGTATTTTCATTGTGTGAAGATTAGTTCTCTCCTTCATCCCAAGAATGTGAACCTTCATCGGCGAATTCATATTCAAGAAGCAAATGTCTACCCTGATATCATGACAGCTATAGTGAGCTCAAGCACTCGCTGCACAAAGCGTCCAGAGCTGAACGAGCCTTGGTCCATGGGTTTCGGCTTTGATGTTCTGGTAGCATCCAACCATTCATGAACTAAAGTATGAATATTGTACACAGCCTTATCAACCGAATATTCAGGGAAAAAGTTAGTATTATGTATACAGCCTAGGCAACGACCATTCATGTATTGTACTCTGTATTGTATGCGCAGCCTCTCGAAAAACCTCAAACATTTAAGGTTTGCCGAATATGCCGAATATAGATACTGCTTTCAATTAACTGTCGCTATTGAATGGATGCAACCATAAAGGCTTTGAACGAACAAATTTCTCTATTATTTCTTTACCTCCAGATTTAACCCGATTCCTAACATTCTATCTGTCTTTATAGAGCTCCTGCTGATGCAAGTAAAAGACATTTTCTACAAAGCTACGTAACACGAAACGAAACTTCGGCCTCATTTCATAATGACGAAAAAAGATACTCAAACATGTAAACTACCTTCCAATAGGAATTGAATCCCGATGTCTTTTTACATTGTCCGAAGCGTTTTTCATTCACGTGAGGCATCACGTGAGGCATTTATTTCGGGCATCACGTGAGGCATTTTTCAATGCCCGAACAAAAGAAGGTCATAATTGACCGGCCGCTTAGTGTGGAAAAAATACGACTCACAAGGGTAGGATTGGTAGGAGAACCTTTGTTAATGATTTTTCTTCAGAAATATACACTGTTAGAAAAATTACCGTTAACGATATTACCGGCGTTCCAGCGGCCGGTCGGCACGTGAAAAGAAACACCGTGTCGCCGTTTTTATTCTAATTTTACACTAGAAATCCGTAAAACATCTGATAAAAACGGCGAAACAGTTTATTTTCACAGGGCGACCGGCCACTATAGAATGCCAGTGGGACCGTTTTCTCATCGTTTTTTCTAGCAGTGTAGCCGTTATTTGCCTTTTAATAAATTTCATTTTTATTTTCTTTCATAAAAACATATTAAGAAGTCGCGGCGTTTTTCTGAACAGTCACGAGTAAGAGTGTTTAAATTAAATTAAAGCTTAAATTAAATTTAATAGAGCTTATTGCTTAAATTAATTTTGAAATTTTCTAAAGCAAATTTCCGTGAGCAAGACGTGCACCTACGATACGTTTCTTAAGGACAATTCACACTGGTCGTGCTTTATTTGAGAATATTCGCACTTTATTGCGAGTGTTTCCATACTAAAAAATACACGCAACCACGAAGACGGAGTAGGGACATCTAATACCAGTTGTTCCCTACATTTCGACGAAGTTGCGAGCATGGCAACCAAATCATTGGAAATTTCTACTTGTTTTTCGTCGAGAGCAATCATGTCAGAAATAGAGAAACCCACAACGTGGGCATCTTTAGCGCTTTGAAGTGGACAATGCCATGACGGCATTTTTACTAACATCAACACATTAAATAATGAAGAGAGTTTTTCTCAGACTTTGCTAATAAGTTACGCAATTTTATATAACATAAAATACAAGTAACCTTTTAAACTAAGCATCGATTACGCATGAAAAATGTTCATATCAATAAGACACAGAGGCAGACACGCTATTTGAGCTTTAAACTGAACTGTAATTCACAGGTGCAATGCCTGACCTCATAATGAGCTCAGGACTTCACTTCTGTTTTATTTCTGGCCTAATATCTGGCCCGAGCACGACATAGGAGAGAAGACCGACCATCGATTTTCATGGGAGGTCAATGCCGGTCTATTCCAGAGAAACCAAACCTATGAACCCGCATTTAGATATGAATCTATATTGATACATATGAACCCGCATTTAGATATGAATCTACATTGATACAGCACGATATTGTATTAGAAAGAGAAGAATCCTTTGGCGAAAAATTTCACATGTAACTGGAATCGTGTAAATTCGGATCAATGCCGAAGCAATCGAAATGCCAATATTGCCAAGTGGATCAATGTCTTCCGTATAAAAAATTATTACGCTTAAGCCCTTTAATGTAGCACTTCAGCACTTATATTATCACTTTCTTACAACTATAAACTTTTTAAAAAGTTAACTATAGATTACCCGGTAGAGTTCAACATCATGTCGGTCAATAGTACACCCGACAGATTGCAACACCAAACTTGATCTGTAGGCCTATTTGGATAGATCATCGGTCAACACTATTCTGGGTCCTCAGGGGATCAAGGACAAATCTCATAAGGTCGATTAAGTTTATGGATGGTGAGAGGATAGTGGATAACGTAGCACATTTGTTAGAAATAATTTTAGTTGATGTCAATTTGTCAACGTAATTTTTTATAGGTATCGAAAAAGGTTAAAGTCTCTACAGGTACTGTAGGTGAACTTTCATTCTTCTATTTTTCCTTTGAATCGTTGGTACTCCCTCTTTCTCTCAATAAATATCTTAAAACATTATATAGAGTTGTTAAATTCCTGGTTCTCACATGTACTTTTCTTGTTTATTTTGTTCGCCTGAAGCAGGCGTGTCACCGACATTTTACTTTAGTTCAGTTTTTTAAGCATCTCAGAGTTTCAGTCAAATTCAGTGTAGGTGTTGGCTCAAAGTCTAAAGTGAACAGAAGGAAATGTTGCGTACATGTATTTTAATTCTAAAGATCCGTGTGCCTAAATTGTATACTTGACTTTTATCGTGTTCCATGTTCGAAATAAATGATTTTACTTGTCGATTATACCTTATGTGCAATACAAATTTTATGAAACCAATTTTTACGGTTTACCTTTGTATATTGTTTTGTTTATACCTAGAACAGATTTTATAAAGAAAACGGAACGAAAAATCGTGTATTCAAATCCTTCGAAAAGTGACTACACGTAACACGAGTAAAATATTTCAAGTCTACGCTTCTAATTAATCATTAGTTTGTTCTTGCTTATCATTTGCGAATGAAAAATCTGAACTATATTTCTATTTCTAAGTCAGCGCATCAGCAATTCTCCTCTTATGCAAAATCTACTCCTGTTGTATGTACTTGCACATTTATGCTTTTAATGTAAAACCATTTTCTTGTTCTTAATTCATTGCTTATATTGAGTAGATCGTAACTTCTGTTATGTCTGCAGTCTTTCGGACTTGGAAATGCGCGGTTTGTTCGTGTTTGATGAAGATTGTTTCGAAAGCATAGAACGTGAACTTATCAGTGATAAGGTTTGAAAAAAAGTTCACAACTCAACATTAAATTTCACAGCGTCAAGTTATAGTTAGAAAATAGACCTATGTGAACACTTGCGGCAATATTTTATAGACCGTAGACGTTGAACGTTGAAAGACGCTTATTATATAGGCGCATTTTGAAGTTACCCCTCGAAAGGGCCCTGCAGTAATGAAGAAGCAGAACATTTTTTAATCGGTAACTTATATGCATGAATTTTTTAGCAGCAAGCGCCATGACTTTTACTCATTTGGGCTCCGATCATTTTCAGGCTTTCAGCGAACTGCGAAGTCTATTCACATATAAATAAATACAAGTAAGACTCGTATGACTTTTTATCTTTGAGTTCACGGAAAACCGTATATATAAATTCCTAATCATTCCAATATTAATCGCTACCGACTCTTATTATTTAAAAAGTTCATACGGAATGATTTTGAATTAGGGAGGCGAGTTTATTCGCAAATGATATGATGGTCAAATATCTCTTCTCAGTTCATAATTACGCACAGTTTATGTAATACCTGAATACTTTTTTCTAATAATCACGACCTCTTTTTAATAAACTGAGAGAAGAATTAAGTGAAAATTTTTCACTTAACTAGTTTGTTCGGTTCATCGACTAAAGAGTTCATACGGCTGACAACCTTTTTTATGCAGACAAAATAATTTCTAGTTAAAGAGAACTTTGCTGAATTAATTTAAAATAAAGAGCGTATCAATTAGTAAAATTCGTGGCAAGGGAATTAAAGAAACGGTTCCAGGTCATACTGTACTTATAATGTATTTTTAAAAACAGAGCTTGCATAGACATATATAGGCAGTTCCAAATAACACTGCATCGTGGGCAGTGTAACCGGATAAACAATGAGTTTGCATGCATTATAAAACGTTGCAAGTTACCTTATATCTTCAAATAGAGTTAACGCTTTGCCTACGTTTTAATATCAGTGGGCGATTTATAATTCAACAAATCTTGACAAAAATTCAAGAGTTGTAAGCAAGTTCCTCTAATCTTCATTTATCATGTAAGCATATATTATTAAAATTTATAGTTAGTTTCACGGTCAACGACAGATATTAGGACACTCCGCATGCTAAAATAGCTAATTGAGCCCAAACCATATTAATATCGAGCTAGCTTCATGTTTGTGATGTTTAAAATTAAATGAAATAAACTCATAAGTGAAGAGCGTATTGCACAATCAACGCATTGGTATGTTAATTCGCCCTGGATATTCAGTTTCCATGACATGCTGATCCTAATCTATTTCTTAACAAGGGTGACGCACATAGCGCTATGTTCTACAATCTACAGTCCAAAACACGATCCAGCAACCGTAACATAATTACTTCCTCATTTTAAAAGAATGTGGCTAGTCTAGGAGAAAATGTGAAAATGCCTGTGAAAATTACGAAAGCATTAATTATATACTCGAGATTTGTTGATATATCAGTGATATGTTCCTGTAAGCTAAAGCATTTTACTTCCTAAAAACCAACATTGCATATCCATATCGCATAAATCTATCGGGAATATAAGCATCTTACCTGCGAAAACGATCAATTAAGACCTTGAGAATATGCTGCTTGCAAGGAGACAGTAAAATGTTCTGTGTTTTCAGAAAATTTAGACCAATTTAAAAAAAAAACTCGCCTACTTTATTTGATATCCCTAATCCTTGATAGGAAATTTGTTCAGACTGCCTCTTAGTTTTCATCGGACATACGTTAACAGAACAAAATTATCATGCATAGCCACACGATATCCTGTAAAAAGTCCATCAATTGTTCATCTTGCGTGTATTTTAAGTAACAGAATTCATTCTAAGAGGAGCCCCGGCTTTTCGGACGAACGTTTTGTAATCTTTATCGTTGATAACCATGTTTGAAACCATCCTGGATGGAGAACCCCCGGGACTACCTGCTTTTCCGTTGCGCATCGGATCATTAAAGGAAGCAGTCCTTGATCTTGGCCCGATGTTCGTAAATGAGCTCGTTCGAGACCTCATGTGCGAAGCCTTGGGTCGTCGAGAGCCCAGCCTCCGCTCAATCCAGCGCAACATTGTTAAAACAGCGTCTGTGTTTGCAAGACGATAATTCGCGGATGTTTTTACGTTTTGTACATCTGTAACTCGGAAGGTGACTGCCATGCCTTCGAGGGCTTCTATGGCATTTTCATCGGTTTCGTCATCACCGGCAAAGATGATGGATGCTTCACACCATTCCAAGCCCAACATCGACCTTAAAATGTGGATTGCAGCACGACCTGAGTCCCAAGTGACGGGAGGCTGAGCTTCGAGAGACATTAGTGCTTGAGTCGCCTCAATATCCACCTCCTTAAAGACATCCAGAGCCTGCTTAATGAGCGCTGGACGAAGCGAAGCCTCCACTTTTCGGAAATGGAATGATACACAAGGGCCTTTGTCTTCGACGTAAGCTCCGCTTGCACAAAGTTCGCCCAATTTTTCTTTGAGTTTCTCCAACTTCTCAATGTATTCTGCAGGCACCGGGTGGTTAAACAAAGAGTTATCCGGATGCAAAATTTCAAAGCCATGGTTTCCAGCATAAGTTATTCCTTCGATGTCAACCATCTTTTTGACGTTTTCTAGTGACCTTCCTGAGATAACAGCGATGCTTACATCTGGTAAGTGGGCGAGTCTCTGAAGGACTTGTTTTGTCTCTTCGGGAAGATGGGCAATATCGGGATGAGGAGCGATCGGAGCGAGTGTTCCATCATAGTCGAGCAAAAGAGCAATGCGAGAGTGTTCATTAATACAATCGGACAAATATTGATCGAAATCCTCTTCAGAAACGGGTCTCAGGAGCTTGCTGTCGCATGCTTCGTCCAAACTGTCGACAGATTTCAGCACTTCTCGAAGCCAAAAGTTGACGTCACGAATTTTTTCCCTGCGCCGGAGCTGAGTCATTCGTAATTCACGCTCGTCAAAAGGCATCGTCAGAGCTCTGTGAATGACTTTTGCAAACTGATTCTGCTCGTAAGGATTCACTTGTAGAGCTTCTTGCATCGTAACTCCAGCTCCTGCAAAGGGGGACAATACCAAAACGCCAGGTTCTTTGATCTGGCAAGCGACAAATTCTTTTGCGACTAAATTCATGCCGTCTCGCAGAGGTGTGACAAGTGCCACAGACGCATCTCTGTAGAAGGCAGCGAGTTGATCATGAGTGACAGATCCGTAAATGTAACGAATTGGTGACCAGTTTGGCGTAGTAAATCTTCCATTAATTCTGCCCACAATCTGGTCGAGTTCTTCCTTCAACTCTTGGTACTCCTTAACATCCGTCCGCGACGGAACAGCAATCTGAAGAAGTGTCACCTTTTCGATGTGCTGCGGATACAACTCCAAAAGCCTCTCGAATGCTTTGAATCGCTTCACTAAACCTTTAGTGTAATCCAAACGATCGACGCCTAGCAGCAGCTGCTGTTCGTTTTTATTTTTAATGGCCTCTGGAGCTTCTTCTGCCATCTGTACGAAACGATCATAAGGTATACTGATGGGCAGGGGGTGCACAGATACACTTCGTTTGTTGTGCTCAATGAGTCTCTTTTTTCTGTCAACACGACATCCCAAAATTCTGTGGCAGCAGTCAATGAAGTTGATGCAGTAATCCTCGAGATGAAACCCAACTGAGTCGCATCCAAGAATACCTTGCAACAGTTGAGATGCCCATGGAAACAACCTCACAATATCCCAAGATGGGAATGGGATGTGTAAGAAAAAGGCCATTTTAACCTTGAGCCCTTCGTCGTTGCAAATGTTACGGATGTAGTTCGCTGTGTACATAAGGTGATAGTCGTGAATCCAAACTAACGGCACTTGATCAGGCTGTCGCTCATAGCATTTGTGGACGGCATCCATGGTAAGTTTGGCGAACTCCTCGTTGACAGCCACGTAAGCCTGAAAAAATGTGGTTACTTGAACAGGAATACTATTCAATCATTCATATTCGTGTCGTATTAAATTCTGCACAATAAATCTCAACTGAACAAGTAATGAACTAGGATTCTCAACTCTCACTAAATAAGTCGAGCTGGATTGGAAGACAAGAAAAACTCAAAATTGCTTAAATATTCAATAGGTGAAACTCTAGAAATTATAATACCTCCGTACACAAGGCACACAAACCTCCCATTTATCCTCTTCGAAAACGGCTTTGTCAGGCATTGAGTGAAAGAGAGGCCAGAAGCAGGCGTTGCAGCAGCCGTTGTAGTAATCATCAAACTGCTTGCGAGGCAGGTTGACTGGAATCACCTGTTCAGAGTCGCATCATGAAATATTTGTATTAACCCCAATATTTAGGCATTATTTCACTCCCGATCGTTGAATTGTTGTGTTAACAGATTATTTTTGAGAGATTTGGACAAAAACGATACTCACTGATTCTATACCAACGATACTGCAATTGATTTCGAGTCATTAACTTTACCTCCGGTGTGAAAACACTCAAAAGTCTCTTCTTTCATGCCCATCAAATTTAACATATTACTTCGGAGAGCAAACAATATTTGCGAGAGAAAATCTAATTTTTATTGCTAAGACGCACCTGGTCGCTCCTGAGCCCAGCAGTGGGGCTCTTGTCGTCGGGGCTGGACTCGGGGATCGCGGAGATGCCGTCCTCAAGATGCAGTCCCGACCATCCCACCCAGAGCCCCCCTGTCTCCACGACTACGGGGGCTACCGCCGTCACCAGACCTCCAGCACTGGGGATAGCCAAAAATATATCTGGAGCCGTTCTATTAAAACTCGATTTTGTACACGTAGCGGACTCGGTACACGTAACGGCCGATTTCTCGCCTGCGGTTAGTGGGTTTAGATTGAGAAGCCGTCAGTGATTGGCTGACGTAGTTACTAACGCGTAGATATTTTTGACGGTGCGAGCCCAACTGAAACGAATATAAAATTCCGTCTTCTGATCGTAACTCGTGCTCCAGATCTAAGAATACGAGAGAAATTAAAAATTCAATTTTTTCGTATAAAGAGCGAGATAAGGAAACTTATGGCAGTAAGAAACCTCTTAGTTTTATAGGTATGCGTTCTATTTTTTATTGCTACCGTCCTTCGTGCTGTCAAAACAATGCTTGAAAAACATCGATGAAAACAAATTAGCTCTCAAGTCATTTACATATAGAGCGATGACTCATTTTCAGGCGAGTTAATAAAAATAAAAAGTGTAGGTCTACCAACAGAAAGCGAATGAAAATCCTTTAATACTGTTGATATATTATCTTAAGGAGTTTAGCCTCAATTTTAACATCAAAGAACCGATAATATTGAACAAAAATTTTCTTCCGGATATTTGTAGACTGATATTAACTAATTTCGGTACGCAGATCTCAAAATCATAACCGTTTTACTGCAGCACGTCAGAATTTTCCGTTACAGAGTACATTGCCTCGTAGTCAGTATTTGAGTGAAAGTTAAAAAACTAATTTACTAATTTATTTCATAATGAATGCTTCAAATTCTAGAAATTATAGATTAAATTTACATTCAACCAGAATGAAAATTAAAATGCTTAAGGCATTTGTCTTTGCGGTTATGATGCTCTGTGTCAGCCGGCAAAATCCAGCATAAGTAGCCATCAGGTTATTGTTGTGCCGCCTTTGATAACGCGTCTCCATAAGTGAAATCTCTTGGTAGAATCGCTCACTGCGATCGTCCTAAACAGCTTAAACGTTTTCAAGGAAGAAGTCAAGGTACAGGAAATAGATTTTCAATGACATCCAGGAGCTAAGTTTCTTGAAGGACAACAAGGGCTGCTGGCCTGCTGCACTTTTTTTTCATGGTCATGCGAGTTCACGTACCCTAAGACCAGCGCTTGATCTTGGCCTCCGAGAAAGTGTTGCCAATCTTCTTCAAGTATTAAAAGACAGCCCAATTCTGATCCATGGCCCATATGTAATTTTCCATCAGACCGAGCTTTATGTAGAGTGTTTGATGGAAAATCTTGGCTGGGTCGACATGGACAACATGTTTCACGTGTTTCTACCAGGCACACGATTCTTTTACACTTTTTGATTTTTTTTTTTTTGTCAAATTATAACTAAAAACGATTGGGATGTTTTTTGAACTGAAAATTCTGACGTGATACAGCAAAACAGTTATGATTTTTTAAATCAACGGACCTAAATTTGGCTAAAACACTTTACACATATCCTGTACAATTTGTTTGAAATTTGTTGTTCAATGTAATGAACTCATATTATAATTGAAGAGTTTGCTTAATGCCGCATCGAAATAAAAAACTTTATTCATTATTTTTCAGCTTCTGTGCTGTGCCTTTTTTGTCTCCTATATGTTAGATAAAGTCTCAATTTTATATTAAAAACCAGACAAATCATTTATCTCGTTAGGACTGCCATTATTTATTACGGACAGATTTGAATCTGCTCCACTCATAACGATTAAGTCTTTTTTATCATGTCGTTGCTATTATAATCCGTGTTTATAATAAAGTTTAAATTAGTATATATGGATCGTCAGAGCTTATAGTAAGTTTCCTCTCAATTGAGTAAAGACACCGTTGAGTGGCGCTGCCAAGTGTATTCAAACATGGCACTTCTGACCAAGGTCTCGGAACTGGTTTTATGCAGCCGTAGGTAAAAACATGCGCACTCTGCGTCACTGATGCCAGATAATCTCTAGACAAATCTTTCTTCTCTTTATTTTCTCCAGTTAGGCATTTTTTCAGGACATTGGCTTGATTTAGCCCATAAATGAACTTTTTTTAACAAAAACTCATTAAAAAAATCGGATTAAACAAATTATGAAATCACGCAATTATTTCATATCTAATATGCCAAAATATTTCATTACAATTTAACAGGCATTGTCATAAACATTCATTCCTCAATTCTGCCAGCAATTGCGCCAATGTGAAGAATTCGTGCCTCGTCTCGTGTTCGATGTTCATGCCAAGATTCGCCTCAAGGCAGCGGCCGCACCAAGTCACTTCGGACACAATTTATTGTAATATTTGCTCACTTCGTCCTCGAAACTATACGCCATGACACATCGAGGTCAGAGCTCGGTTGGTTGTGTTAGACATAACATTTAGCCTTCATTTAGTTTTTTTATGTATTATCAAGTGCTATACACACACTGAAATTGAGAAATTTGTAAATTTGTCTCCGACTCAATAGCGCCGAATTCATTAGAGATATCCGTGCATGCAGAATTACAGGATTCTATGGTATTCTTTCGGCATGACACCGTAGGAAATTTTCATCAGGGTAAGGAATAGACTTTGCATATTAGTTGGCATGCAAGAAATGCGCTTATCGCCGTTACGTATTTGCGTAGTGTTCAGTCATGCCTCGTAAGAAACATTACCTATAAAACGACACGGTCATAGACATGAGTGGGTTCAGTAAAGTTAGATAGAATTCATTGGTCCCTGTGCTAAATCAAACTTCCCTAGTGCAGGTTATATCATGTATCACATGGTGCAGATTAGACCATGTATCTCAAGTTTAGCTTAGAAAATGATTCCCAATATTGCAGGCAAAATCGGTCCTTTACACGCCCGCTCACCTGTATTTTCTCGTAAGTTCCCCAGTTTTGGAGTTTTTACAGATGACGAATGGCAAACGATTTGCCACCACCACCATTGGAGACGTGGAGTGGATCACCATTTTGGATGATGATCAACGCACCGAATTTATTCCTCTGATAATATTAGGTTATGTATGTTTTGCTTCACCATTCAATATTAAACAAAACTCAGTAAATATATTCTTTTAAATCTGAAATTAAAAGCTGCACATGATAGGACAGTAGCGATTAGAATCTTTTGTAAAATAATGATGAACGCTAATACGTTAAAGAAATTTAGCAGTCTAGGATCCAATTGCCCTTATTCCTTACCTCCATGTAACATCTGTCAAAATACTCAAAAACGTTTTTATATGTGATGTTGATTCTTGATCAATTTAAAACTTACTCACTTGCTTTTGCGTCATCAAAATACCTACATGCACACAAGGTTCGTCATAGAACTGAACCGTACGAGAAAATGTCCACCGTGTCGAGAACCTAGCACTTCAATGCAGTCCCTGTGTGTAGTAACACTGCCAGAGTTACATGTAAAAGACAGACCTTTATAGTCCACCTTGAAAGGCAAACTTGGCAGTGAGGCCCCAGCCTCCATTGCTGCTCGGCTGGCGCTGCTGCTGCGTGTTTGTTTAGCTACGATGCCAATGCAGCTATGGCGCCAACTACCTACCTTACCGAGAATATATTTTGATTTCAGATAATAGCCACAAACTAAAATCTACATATAAGAAGAGAAATGTTTTTATACAGTTAGGCGTTACATGCTAATGTTGAAGCAGATTCTCATGTTACAACAAACAAATAGTATGAAGCTGCATCCTGCATGAAAGAGACATGAACTGTGAGCTCTAGTGTAACAGATCCTTCATACTTGTATGAGTGACAGGTTCAACCTGATCAATTGCTTGACTGACGTCACAGAAAGTGCGCGGTCCTCAATTGGGAAGTTGGGAACTGCGCTTTAGTTTAATTAACCTGCTAACACGAATACAAGGTTGAATTTGTTCTCCCTCTTGAATATCAACTTATTTGTAATTTTTGTGTGAATTAGTATTGACTTGTAAATGACCTCAATTCATCTAGTTAAAGCTATCTTTAACTGAAACAAATCAAGTAGGTAATTCTATGTCACTTCCCATCAACTTTTCTCATGCTGCGATTCAAAAACAAAATGAATGGAACAATAGTAGAATTTTTACCTATCACAAATTTTTAGCTAGATAGTAACAGCTACTTGAATTAAATATACGCTTGTGACGTGGATAGATTATGTTATCCTTTTTTAAGTAATTTGCAGCTTTTAATCGTTCATTTATCAACTCATTTCATTTTATAACTCCTGGGATTATTTCCTCGAAGTGAGACAATAAAAAACATCGCCTCAGATTTACAACTTAGGTTTACATAACGAATCATGCATGCACATAATACATTCTTGGTATCAAATTGGAAGTACTTCGTGCAGTTTTGAAATGAGCAAGAGGAATTAGATGCGTTAATTAGTACATAACTTCGATCATCAGCCATTGCAGAATCAAGTGGCGGAATCGACCTCCTTGAAAGATAAGATAGGTAATTCTTCTTGACCTCATTTTCACTATCTTCACTCGTGTGTTCCTCATTTCTATCGTCCGCAGAACAGTTTAGGGACAACCTTAGAGCCACCGAAGCCTTCCTGGTTAGCTAATTGAGTCGAATGGAATAAAATTAATAGATGTAACTTTTCAATGGACAGGAAGGGATTGAGCCATGAAAAGCCACGCGTTGTTGGACTGATTTGCGCGGCCATTATAGCAGCTGAAACATGCCCGACATGGCAGCTGAAACAACTGAGGAAGTAGCATCACAAGGTCAGTCGATCCTGCCGTTAAACGGATTATGAATTCATTGAAATATTGAGGAGTTTTGACGATGAAATGAACCGGTAGAGAAAGATCGTATCTGTCACGTCAACATTTTGGCTAAATTAGGCTAGATGACCGAATTAATTTCTTCCAAACTATGGACTCTAATCACTATACACTCAAATAACTTGAATCCGAAACTGGTTCATTTAGCGTTCTACTTTTATTTCCTTCAATCGAAGTAAGTATCAAGAAATTTAATAGAAGCATTCTCACCAGGCCTGGGGAATGTATCAAGCATTCATGAATCCTGAAAAATAAAGAGAATGAGTTGCAGGGGTCAACAAAGTACATGAGTGGACGACGCAGAGAAGTGAACGCAATCTTGTCGTGTCGTGTTGGAGCCTCGCAAGCCGGCGCGCCGCCCGAGGCGGCTGGCAACTGCGTAATTCTAACACACGTGTAAAATTGCTGTTGTCGTCATCGCATCTTCCGTTGGTAGACGTTTTTTGTTAACTTATGGCAATTAAAATAATAATAAAAATAGCAATTATAAACGGTCGAACTGGCTGGATAATTGCCACCATCATCTCTCGACTAATTTATAAAAATAAGACGATGTCTAGTTGAAAAAGTTATTGAAAAAAATTGAAAAAGGCAATGTTATAAATTTTTTAACATTACGACAATACTGATGAGTAATAATCGGGATAGGCAACTGTTTTACCTATTCAGCTATTTAGTAATAATACAGTCGATTTCGTATGAAAACTTCATGACCGATAAATCACTCATGGTCAACTTTTTATAAGCAATTGAGAATGTTTCAAAACCTTTGCATCGCAATATTTCCTTTTTCCAAGAACAAATTTGAAGCCGGAAAAGTTGTCCTCTATAATAATTTCCTGGTGACTTGTGTGATAGGTACTTCATCAATTCTTTCGATAAAAAACAAATTATAACCAAACATACTCGAACGGAGTTAGCTAACCATTTAATTTTTTCTCGCCAGCCTGCAGCCTAAAACTGGTCTTCGTGCGTAATAAACAGGCTATTGGGTAGCCAATGCACGCCCCAGCACCCAAGTTGCATCTCGCCAGTCTTTGGCATGCACTGCGCGTTCAAGATTATCAGAAGAGTAGAATCCCCACATGTATACATTCCTTCATATCCTAAGCTTGAAATACGACTGGCATGTCTTGCCTTCAATATCAGTGAATGCATGTCGATGCTCTGAATGCAAGATTGCTCTAGGGACTCAATACCGTAAGTTTCACCTTGACACGTACACAAAATAGATGCAGATTAAGGCGGTGCATCAAGAGACGAGCTAATTTCTCATGCATTGCGCTCGTTCATCGGCTACTATACTATATAATTTTTCATGTGTTCAAAGTAAAAAAATAATAATTAGCGATTATTAACTGAATCTGTGATAGGTCATTTGTAATTTGTTATAGCAGAGTAGGCATTAAAAACGTAAGTCTCGATTGTGCCAAGTCTGTGTCCGAATAATGTAACAACATTTATATGAAAGAATTCCCTCTGCTGTACATAGACCAGGTAATTGGGCCTTCGAGCTATCAAGCTGGCATGTTAGAGGAGAAAAAAATGGCAGGACCGGACCTAAGCAGAGTCCATCCCATGACTTTGGAGGGTTGACCGTCCGGGTTGAGCTAGCAACCTCAGACAGTAAACAACGGATTAAGTTTCTAATTAAATCACTAATCCGCACATTTTCTTAGACTCCGGCATACTTTCTAAAACGTTTTTACTCTAGAAGTTTTCGTCAAGTTTTAACTAATTGCCAGACGTTACTCAAAAAAATTCTGTAAACTAAAATTTCATTATTTAAAATATTTACATCACTTCCGAGTCAACTCAACTTCGACACAATTTAAATGATCCATCCATCTTTTTTATGTGAAAAAATTGGCGAATTGAATAATTTTGTATGATTTTATAAAGATATTTACACATTAAACGAAACAGCAATCACAGCAAGAAAGCGCACAACATGCGCGTGTGTTGTGCCCATGCAGTGTGGCCTTGTAATATATAGGGGCTGCTGGGAAGCAGTGTGGTGGCAGAGTGGACGTACTCCAAGGTTAATCTCAACGATCGTTTACTTTATGCGAGCACTTATTTGTAAGTCTTCATGATAGAAATTTAGTTGTGTAAAAGTTTTTAACTTTTTTTCGTTTTCTGTATAGCTGTGGCACTGCATTGACTTCATAGACAACGATATGACTCCGAAAAGCTCTGTAAACTTAAATGTTCAACTTCGTGCAGCGAAGAAGTATATATACTTGATCATTGATGTGAAGAAGAACGTGATAAAGCACTAATCCTGAAGATTCTTGTCCTATGAATTCTGCACCCGTTCTTGCTTCTGGCCGGCAAGACACTCTGAGATTTTCCGCTTTGAAATAAAAATTATTGAAAATCTATATAATTCTGATTATTTGAACCGATTTAAGATACCAATGACGATTTAAATGACATTTAAAAGTTATAATATTAGCTTTGAAGGTTATTTAGAGATTCTAATGACATTTTAATGAAATATAGACACGATTAAAGTTTAACTATAATATCAATCACATTGAAATGACGACATTTAAATACAAAAGAGGATATTACGCATTCGTAGTTAATTAAATTTAATGTTTCAATTCAAACAATGACAAAGTGCATGCGAGGGTCATTCATTGCCAAGTTAAGTGAAATAACATTCACACAAATTATGTCTAAATTTTATTCGCCACCAAAATAAATAATTGTTTTGGACAACATTGCCAGAGAAAAGCTAAGATGGCCACTTCCCTAATAAGCGCACAAGTTTTTGCTGTGCCAACTTGCCCTCAGCAACAGCGATCGGGATCACAGAGATGGCAACGACCTTCTCAGTGATAAACAAGTCTTTAAGCATCGTGTGCTGGTGAAACTCTTCGCATGCGGCTCGGGTTCTTTGGGCATCCACACTAGTCTCGGAAGCGTCGATCATCTGAATTTTCTTTTATCAAACCAACTTTTTTCGGAATTCGATAAGCAAGTTATGCATTGTAGTGTCTGTCGACTTCGAAACTGGAAACCTCAATTATATAGGCTTACTAAACCTCGTGAACTTTCGGCAGTAAACAGTGACGTAATCGACCACAATATGGCTGCCTGATATTTGCAGACACCATTTAAGGCTTTGGGATGTCAGCGCTGAAACCACACGTTCCTCGTTAAATATTTTTCCACTTCCTTATCCAATGCTTTCTTCACAAGCGAGATTAATAAGATACGAAAAATAAAATGTAATGTCGCACTTATTTTTGCAACTACAGAAGGTTGGTCCGCTTAGAGCTGAAGAAATTTTAACAAAGGAAATCTCGCGCGGGGGTTGTGATTTTCCTCAAGTAACCCGACGAAAGATTTGATGTGTAAAGTAGCTGCTGAAATTAATAAGCAATAGCACAGTAAGTTTGCTAAGGCATTTCATCCTCACAAATTGAACTCTTATCATATTTACGATATAAAAAAACCAAATGACCACAGCTGCATTTATTAAATTTGAAACAATCCCTAAAGAATAGTAAATGGAGGGAACAAAGATGAATAGAGGACGTTCGAAAAGTTTACTTCATCTATAAAGCATATAAAGACCCGCGACATTGGCAACGATCATTCGTGGATACATTCTATAAAATAACTGTTTCTGATAAATATATACGGCCCTAGCACCTACTCTACCTACGTGCCACGGCCACGCAGCCCATTCACTTCAACTTATCCTTTATACGATAAATTGTTATAATAATAACAATAATCATTGGAATTAAACATACAAATTTTACGATACAATTTTTTTTATAATCTACCACGCAAAATTTTTCAATTTCAAAGTTAAAATAATTGGAAAGAAATTTTTTCATCCGCTGCAACGATAATTTCCCTCAGTTTGAAGGCTCTAATTATTTACGAAGGAATATGATAATCAATGCACCTCTACAGACAAATATTCTGATAGTACACATCTAAAAAATGCAGGTCCAAATCTAAATTCAGGTCGCATGAGGGGCACAGCCGTTTGTACTACTCGATTGACTTGGGTTGACAATCACGCATATAATGTACACCCACTATGAACTAACAGTTATCCACCCACATCAACTATGAATTCATTCGGCATCAGTTATTCGACACGCAAACAGTCACCAAAAGAAATAGTTGCGATTCGTCACGTTCGTTTTACGCAGTTAGGCTCGCACCGTTGACAACAGACTTCACAGTAATCATTTGATTGAAGTCGTCGTCGCTCATCGTCATGCTTGTGACCATTTCCTCGACAGCTTGCCCGTTCCGGCTAGATTTTCTTGTAGGTGATCCTGCCGGAGATTTGCTTACGGAATTAGTTCGTCCGAGAGTTTTGGACTCTTCTAGAGAACGGGCTCCCAGTCGCTGCTCGATCCACTTCAGCATTGTAAAAACTGCATCGGTGGAGGGCAGCCTGTGATTGGCTACAGTTTTTACATTTTTCGATGCAGTGACACGGAATGAAATAGCCATGCCTTGCAAAGCCTTCATTGCATCCTCGTCTGTTCTGTCATCGCCAGCAAAAATGACGGAAATCCTGCTCAGCCAGTCAACACCGAAAAGTGTTCGCAAGATGTAGATGGCAGCCCGACCCTTGTTCCAAGGTACAGGTGGACGAGCCTCAAGCGCACGATGTGAGTGGTACGCTTCAATTCCTGCAGTGTCGAAACATTCCTCGGCTTTGGAAATTATTTCTGCTTCGAGAGCATTAGGAACCTCCCTGTAATGGAACGTGACTCCTGTGCCTTTCTCTTCGAGCCAGGCGCCATCGGTGCACACTGGTTTCAACATTTCTCGAAGCTTGGCCAATTTTTCTTCATATTCGTGTGGAACGGGATGTACGAACATGGTGCCATCGGGGTGTTTAATTTTGAGACCATGATTACCAGCGTAGGTAAGTCCCTCAATGCCAACCATTTGCTTGACATTTTCCAAAGACCGCCCGGAAATAATGGCTATCTTGACGTCCGGCATATTTGCGAGCCTCATAAGTACCTTCTTCGTTTCAGGGGGTATAACAGCCAAGTCTGGGTGAGGAGCGATGGGGGCAAGAGTGCCATCGTAATCAAGTAAGAGTGCTAGCCTGGAGGACTCCGTAACGTAATTTTCTAGGAAAGTGCTGAAATCATCTTCCCTGAGAGGACTCAGTCTCCCCGAAGTGTTTTTGCAATCACAGTTCACACTCTCCAAAAAAGACTCAAGCCAGTAGTTGACGTCTTTTTCGCGCTCACGCTTCTTCAAAAGTGACATCCTGAGCTCACGCTCTTCTTTCGGCATTGTGATCGCACGGTTGATGGTGTCGGCGTAGAGCTCAGTTTCGTATGGGTTCACCTGAAGTGCCTCAGCCATAGAGCTCCCAGCACCTGCAAACGGAGATAGAACCAAGACGCCTGGTTCTTTGGTCTGACATGCGACAAATTCTTTGGCCACAAGATTCATCCCATCGCGAAGCGGCGCAACCAAAGCAACCGAGGAATCGCGATAGAAAGCAGCCAGCTGTTCTTGAGAGATGCATCCGTAGATGTAACGTATTGGAGACCAATTGGCAGTCGAAAAACGACCATTTAGTTTACCAATTTCCATGTCCAGCTCTTCTTTTAATTCTTGATACTCCTTCACATCTGTACGAGAAGGTACAGCTACTTGAATAAATACGACCTTTTCAATTTGTTCAGGATGCTTCTCCAAAAATCGTTCGAAAGCTTTGATTCTGTGGACAAGCCCCTTTGTGTAATCTAACCGGTCGACTCCGAGCAAGATTTGCTCTTCGGGGTTATTTTTGACCACAGCTGGGGCTACTTGGGCCAACGACTGGAACCTCTCATACGGAATACTAATGGGGAGTGGATGGACTGTCACTAGACGCGCGTTGTGTTTGATGAGCATTTTCTGTCGATCAGTTCGGCACCCTAGTCTCCTTTGACAACAGTCAAGGAAATTGAAACAGTAATCTTCAAGATGAAAGCCAATCGAGTCAGCTCCAAGAATGTTCTGCAAAAGTTCATCGTCCCATGGGAAGAGCCGCATCATATCCCAAGAGGGGAACGGTATGTGCAGGAAGAATGCAAGCTTTACTTGGATCCCTTCGGCCTCGCAGCCATTCCTGATGAAGTTCGCGGCGCACATGAGCTGGTAGTCGTGGATCCAGACGAGCGGCACAGCGTCCGGCTGCTCCGCATGAATCTTCTTAACGGCATCAACAGCGCGAGCAGCGAACTCTTTGTTCGCAGTCAAATACGCCTGCAAGATTTAATTATTTTAGTGATTCGGAAAAAGAATCTATTATTGAATAAATTAAATACAATAATGTATTCGAAATTTGACCAACTTGCTATGTTGTGACCCGCACGGCAGGTATTGCTTGCATGTTGTGACATGCAAGCAAGCAAAATAATTTATTTTGTATTTTTTACATCATTTTCTCGGCTCAGGCTCTGCAGCTGACATGATATTTATTATTTATCTAAAAATCAAGCAACACTATATAAGGTGTCAAGAAGAAAATATATAATCAGTACACAGAACGCTGACTCCATTGACCTTGAGCAGCCACTGGTCTTAGAAAAATAGTATTTGTCAAGTTGTTTTTTAGGACCCTTTTATCACGTACGCAGTTTCAACGACCGAGGCGGTGAGTATACAAATGCGATAAGGAACGTGGCCATAACATAAATTACTAAATTCGGCTTCAACTAATAATGTATACACATATAAAGCCGTAAAAATTAATGATCCACGAAACATTAGCAGGTATCAAATTCAAGATATAAAAACAATCAAATGACTGTGCGCACCAGAAAATCGTACAGTATTAGTATCTATAAGGGCCGTTCGAATTCATTAAATGTATTAGAGATGATGAGATATCACACGAAGAATAATGAAACATTAATACTGTCATTTTATTGGTCGTTCTGACGCTCCTTGCAGCAGCGAAAACTACAAACGAGCTGCGTGTAATTAATTGATGTCAGGTATGTTCTACAAGGTGTAAATCAATATACGAATAAAATCAGCTCGTTATTTTAACTTCGATTACTTCACATGTTTTACACTCGTGTTTAAATCATGAGAAATCCCTGTCATCGAAATTTGAAGACGTTTTTATAGTATTAAGTAGGACACATTTAAACATACTCCCCTGCATTCCACATTTTCATTAGACGAATTTTCCATCAGGCATCAACTCAACAAGAAATAAATAAAAGCGTGAGGAGCTTCATCAAGAATTCACCTGCCATTTGTCGGACTGGAAGAGAGCGCGGTCAGGCATCGAGTGGAACAAAGGCCAGAAGCAGGCGTTGCAGCAGCCGTTGTAGTAATCGTCGAACAGCTGACGAGGAAGCATCACCGGAATCACCTGCAGTCAACAAGAAAAACTTATTTTCAGAAGAAAAACTTGTTTTCAGAAACACCAACAATTGTTTTTATAACGCTCTATCAGCACGCGTTATCATTTCTACTGAGAAGTTAAGTCAACTTTAATCCTGATTCTGATGTCAACTCTAAAGATATGAGAAGAAAAACAATCGTTGCAAAATTACATTACCGATACGTAAACGAATTAGAATATTAATTTAAGTGGTATTAATTATAAAATGTACGTATTCATTCGTGTCAGGAGAAACCATAAACAGAATAATTAATATTCATTGACCTGCCAATGGAACATTAATTCGGTTTTTTGTCAAAAATGGTTTTCCTTGAACACAATAACCATAAATACACACATATATACTTGTACATAAAATTAAAAAATCTCTTCCTCGCTGAATTGCATCAATACCTATATACTTTCCACACTTTTTTCGATTCGACAAGCCGAGGTGATAAGCAGTACGGAAATCAAGAAGAAAAGACAAATTTAAAAATCATGGACTTAGTGTTCGATCAAATGGCCACACTATTAGCTATCAAGAGTGGGCAAAGCATTCCCAGGCGATACACGATCATCAATTTTTCGTAATATTGAGACAAAAATACTCTTTGAATCGTAAATCTAAATTTTTCACAAGGTAAAATAAATAATCTAAAGCAATACAAGTATACTAAAAAACAATGGAGCACTTAGCCTGATAAATCGTAACAAAAGTGAAATTTGTGAAGGCAAATTGTTATCAGGCCACATCAAGTTCAAGTTACAAAAAAAAAAAACATCACTTCGGTGAAAGGAAAGTTCAGAATTCCTAAGAGTAGTTTCCGTCAGAACACACCTGTTCGCTTTTGAGTCCAGCGGTGGGGCTTTTGTCGTCGGGGCTGGACTCGGGGATGTACTCGAGGTTGTCCTCCTTGTGGAGGCCAGGCCAGCCCACCCACAGTCCTCTAGTCTCCACCACCACCGGTGCCACTGCCGTCACCAACCCACCAGCACTGCAACCATGCATTTCAGATTAGTGGTGATCAGAATTCATAAGTATTTTAGCCTTGTTCTCGGTCGACAGGTTCGCCAATCATGAAATTAATAGAGTAAAACTAACTAACTAACCGAACTAAAATTTCATTTATTGATATCATTAGTTATTTATAAAGAATCTAAGTAAAAGGTGTTAAATATAACCCGGTGTTGAAGGTGAGGGAGAGGTTTAAATTTACTAGTCATGTTCATTTCTTGATCGAATGATATTTAAATAATGATTTCTTCATCGAGGTCATCGTTATCAAACGCCATATAGAACAAAATAACGATTCAACTCAAAATGAATTTGAAATGCAAATTCTACGACGTGTCAATTATTCCAAAATCAACAAAAACGTTTGCTTAAACGACAACCATGATTTTTTCAATCACAATTGGTTTTCCAGCAAACACATTTCAGAACTAAAGTATAAACAGCTGTGATTTCAGAATAGTGGAATGAACTCCGCTTAATTAAAAGAATTAAAACCTTTTAATTAAGGCGGGGAATTTTGTTGTATCCTGATCTCTCTTAAGCCCGAACCCTTATCGTAGTTAAACTCAATTTTACCCGATATAATCACTCGTATTAAGTTGTGAGATAGTGGAAGAGAACTACGGGCTAATCATGAAATAAAAAACAAGATAAAGCGTGAAGCTAATTTTATTTATACGTGACTACAGCAATGTTGATAAGGGGTTCGCATCATTATTTTCTCCATAAAAACCAGACATGTCCGGCTAGTCTGAATTCAATTTATTCGAAACAAATCTGTAACGAACTAATCCTAATAACCAAATTCGTGGCACCCTAACGCCAGTAAAAGCCTGATCCCCTAAAGTAGGTTATAAGTATGTCGACATCGACGGCACCTGCGCCAAATATTCAGACCAATAATGTCATTCCATCATTCAAATAATATACGAGCGACTTCGTTCCTCGAGAAGTGGGGCGGTGGCTATTTCGGTCTTACTGATTCGGCGTCCCGAATTATGGCACTCTGGCTCCTTGCCAGAGTTTATCACTAACAGCCCACGTGGACAAGACGTGCTCTCGTGCTAATTATCTTATTCCTACCTGGAGAGTGAAATCGACGAGCTTGGAAAAGGCTTGAAATTAATTTCGCACGATAAATTTCAATCACGCAAATGAGCCATTCTACACTTTTTGGGCTATAGTATTTTCTAGCTTTCTCTTGCAATCGCTGCCATTCAGGAAACGTACTACTCAGTACTGGCATTGACGTCATCTCGTTAGTTTATCAAGTTAGAATAAGTAAATGATTCATAACACCACATTTCTCTCTTCTAGGCTGTCCAAGTTACCTCAACGTTTGTAACTAATCACTAACGTGACCCTGATTATTGCCGATTCGACAAATAGTTTGAATAATCTCTGCACATGCACCGATCAGTAGGTAGATGCGCGTGCGCCCGTCGGTAATGCCGCTGCCCATCGATTTCACGCGACCTCTCAGTAGCCGTGCAAGAGAGTACGCGATTCAACTGAATCAATGCGAGGATTTGAGTATGAGAAACTGGGTCGACCCGATGCTTAGAAATGATGTGAAGGCACTAGCTGATTGCTGTCTGATAAGAATGCCCGCTACAGTTCATAGAATCAATAGCCAAGTAGCAGTTTAGCGTCTGGAGGCATCGCGCACCTGTTGACACCGTCGATCGAAGTCACTCTCTGATCACGTGACCTTAGTGATACGGAAATGGTGAAGTACACGACCACATATAAACAAAACATGAAGTGAAATAAAGACAAATAATGATAGTGTTGATTTATTATTGTGATACCACATACTAAGAATTGTAGTTTTGTAAGGTTTGAACGGCAAGGGAAAAATACCCCTCACGACGTTGCATAGCAAGCCGGTCTCCAAAGTATCTCTTGACATCGTTATTAATTAACACACGTTTCAAATAAGATGGAATAGACTACACTGATTGGCCTTAAATAATTGCATAAAACCCGTGCATGCAAATGCAATACTATCGAGAATTGTGGACCGCAATTGCGCCAGTCGACGAACTATAGGTACCATAGCAAAAATTCAGCGTGGAATATGGGTAGTAATAATTTACTCTAGACGCCTCGTACTGGATTGGATGACCTGAAACTGTGCCTTTTCCTTACAACTGCACTGGTTATTTTTTATTTTTGTTTATGGAGCAAGCAAGGCACTACCCTGCAAGCTAGATCTTGTCATTATTTATTATATCTACCACATATCCTAGAATGTCACGGTGTCACCCGTCAGTAAATAACGTCGTAACTCACTCAGAAATAACAAAACGTCAATTAATTAAACGTTAACCTAAACTTAGCTTCAAAATCCTGTCAATAAGAACTACAATGAAAAACAGTACGTTTTTCATATTGATATGGTAATGGTCTAAATCTAAAACCACCAATTGATAGTCATAGCCTATTTGATGAAAACGAGTTGCATAAAATTTAATTTAAATCAGCTTCTTTTTTAGTTTTTGAAGCATTTTTCTAGCAACCAAATTTAGCAAGCTCATACAGACTACTACCAATTGCCATTAGACGGTGGTCCGACTCTGAACTGAAAAAAATTATTGCTAACATGAGCAAACTTTCGTTCGTTCAGGAACTTGATTTGCTACGGATTTTATCAAGAATCGTCAGCTAACTACCGTACGTACTACGTAATTGAACATGATTATGATGATATAAATAAACTAAGTCTAATGTAATGGAACGTAGAACGGTGACTTGAATCATGAATGTGCTTTAAATTGGACTAGGCAGTTGGCACATTATAGATGTCAAAATTCTAGGCACATCGAAGACGTAATACAGGCCATCTCACCTCTACCTTTTTCAATAAAAAAAGGTCAATAGCGCAGGGCCATAGTTTTTGCCTAGGCTATCGGCTTTAAATTACGTTCTCGTGCATGCCGGCTAACTCTCTCGTGCACTCTCACCGCGTGGCAACAAGGAGCAAGGACCCAAGTACCTGACTCACCATTGCTTGCGCACCAAAACTCCATTTTCATCTTTTTTGACAATAAAGGGCAGTCGGTTAGCAACCACAACCATAGGAGATGAAGATTGCACCATTGTGACGGTTTAACTTTAGTTTATACTCTGAGATTTCTGAAAAATATCTAATTACAATGCACTTTCATATAAATGTTCGTTAAAAAAATACAAATAACCATGATAAATTCAGCAGAATTGAAAATTCTATTGAAACTTTGTAGGCTAATCACCAGTACTCAAACAAGCAATGAAAATTTTCCGATCGTTGCGTTCCGCCCTCTTCCACTCGCTTCTCAGTCGCAACTGACGCAGATGACACATACGCGATCTTTTATATAGCTTCCGATACCTTGCCAACGCTACCCTACACCTAGATATATGAAACATGAATAAATTCTTATTTTAAAAATTGTTATTCAATACTGATAATGAATTACACGTTATGCTTCTTGTTTATTACTCTTATTGTTCGTCATTTTCCAAAAAATCAGCAGAAACGCTGCTTTGAGAAGATATTGTAGTGGAAATTTCCACAGACTTCGCGACTACAGTTGGCGTTCGGTTACTGAAGCTGAAGAGTAGAAACGACCGAATCGACACTTCGAACTCACCTGCAAATTTACCAGCGGACTCAAACGAAAAACGCAACTTTGGGGCAACTGAACAGCTCATAAATTCTTCAATTCTGATCAAATATGCATGTGCTGAAATGAAACGCCAAGCCAAGAAGAATATCGCATGAAGCATCACAAGCTAGGTTTGCAGGGACGTTTATGCTCGCTTCATACATAAGCTGTTGACTTTTATTTACATTAACGTCATTCAATGCCTTTTTCAGTTGCGGGTTCGCCGGAACCAAGTTTATTAACTGAGTGATCGAATAAATACATGACTATGGTAACTTCCAATTCATTAGATTTTGCAAAGAAAACAAAGCAAACCGCTGAATAATTAATTTAGATTTTAAAGGTATACTACGCATCGGTTTGCATGTGTTTACGATGATAAGCATGCAGGAAAAAATGCCCGATATTATTAGTTAACATTTAGCTTAAAATTATACACATAGACATCCATGTCATAGAATAACGCCTTATCTCTTATCGCCCTGATTATTTCTTATTCGGTTTAAATAATTAACTGATTTATTACTTTAGGTTTTAATTAGTAATTTACTTGGCATTAATTAAATTACTGTCAAGCCCTAGAAAATCCTGTAAGAGAACTTGCTTCGATTCGATTCCAACAAACAGGGTTATCGAAATTTGACTCACACATCAATTACAAACGATAACATCACAAAGTAAAGACGAATATACTGATTTAAAAAGCGGTTTCAAATCATGTAGTTCCAGTCATTTACAAGTCCTCGAGCTAAATAATACGGAATAAAATTATAGTTAGTTGAATAAAAGAAGTTTGGTCTTGTCTTTAAGGCTGCCTCAAGTTAACTCTTAATTGTTAGTAAGTTTTGCTATTAAATTGACAGTTTCAAACCCATTCCCGTAACTATCGATGCTAAATTGTTCCTCAAACTTTTTATTTTAGTTACTTTGCAACTATGAATGAAATTTCAGGATATTTATGATCTGAAATCGTCACTTGTACGTCTCGGTTATATTCACGCTCAGGCTGATATTGCTCTAAAAACATTAATAGCTTTAGATATAACACCAGCTTTAAATCGAAAACAAAATCTATTTCTCGGAATAATTATAAAATCCCCAAAGAAAAAAGTTGGCGTTCTAATCGTTCAAATCTAATTTAAAGTTCTGACTGGTCTTCATATTTGAGGCGATGTTTAGTCACCGCGAGCTAAGCTTCAAATCTCAATGGGATCGAAAATGAAGTTAAAGACCACATAAGCTCTAATATTTGCTTCTTCTTTTCGTGGAAACCGGCCGTTAAGCTCTCGTTAATATTGAGACGTCACTAGTCTTGTTAACTTCTATATGATGTTCACTAAGCCCTTTAAATTTCTAACAAAAAAACAGCTCCTGGACGTTTTGGTTCAGTCATAAACTAATTGGCTTAGAATGATTGACCGAATTTACACGTTTTCTGGCAAAAATAATTTTGATTGCGAACGTACTTTCAAATAACGTTAATATCTTAATTAAAATTATAATTAAGAAGCGTTAAGTGAATGAAGTCGTGCAACTTAGCAATAGTTTAGTGATAGAAGTGCTGCACACAATCGGGAAGGCTTATAGCTGAACCTACATTTTCAAAGGTATGCTTCCATCGGCATTTGAGAAGCTTGTCATGAATTTTAAAAAGCATGAATGTTTTACGGATTACCGGAAAATTTGTGGTCAGGTAAAGAGGTTAAAATTGCATTCAGCCGAATGTGATTTAAGATTGAATAAATTTAATGAATATAAATAAATAAACAAATTTCTTGAACATATTTCAATATAAAGGTATAAAATATGTATTTGTGACTGCGTAATAAAACATAATTTTTCCTCCTTTTTATTGCGTTAACATAGCATCTCCTTTTTCTATGTTCCCAAATGCACTACCGCCTTCCATTTTAGGAATTCGCCAGCGCTCCTTTTTTCACTCAAAATCCTACTTATCTCTTTCTCTTTTTTCTTTTGTCTTTCTTCTTTCTGTTCTAACTTGTCGCAATTTAGCCGCTGGCGCGTCGTAACCGCTGCGCTTCACGTGTCGAGCGCGTGATGGCGCAGTGCGTGGTGAAGGCTGCAGGACCAATACAATAATTTCTTTCCTTCTACTCATAATACTAATGCATCCGACTCTTTATTTCCTTTCTTTTCTTCAAGATCCTGTAATATTGGGATCTTTCTCGGGGTTTAAGTACATTCGTTTGCTTTAATGTAGCCCTCCATCATGTCCGGTATGCGTCATTATTCGTGGAGTAAAATTAGAAGTGATATACGTGTGACCGGCGGCGTATTATATGTATGTATAATAACCTTCAACGTCATGACATCACTGTCATAGATAACACATACCCTTCTTTCCTGCTGGTGTGTAGGTTTTCCGACGCTAGTATCATGGTCATCATCATATAACATTAAAATATATTGATATTTTTTTTAACTAAATAATTTTATCATTATTTTATAAAATATATGGGTAGGTAACCGGGGTAACTATATATATGGGTAGGATCGGGGTAACTCCGATCGGCCATGAGTGAGCTTTGCAACTATATTGACTGCCCAGAAGCTCTGCAGTGCATCAGAAGCAGGTTTCGTACGTGCCGCTTTTGCTACTCTTAGGCGCATTTTTTTGTATCGTTAAATAAATACGAAAAGTCTTTTTATTATCATAAAAAATTACTTTGATTTTAATAATTTTCTGATACGTTTATGCGTACAATTTAAAAAAAAAGTGGAAACAAGAGACATATGCCTGTCAGAGCAAAATGTTCATTTTCTGTGACTATCTCAACCAGTGACGTCTCATAGTTGCCTATGTTGAGAACAATGACGACACGACGCGATCACGTCGCTGGCTCGTGGCATGAAACGCGATTACTTCTGATTTTTTCTGGACCATTTTTTCCCGTTTTGTTTCTTCTCTAGGAACGTCATGCAAGTAAAGAAAGTGGGAACCGTACACACAGACTCCTTTATCTTGAACTGTTTTTTTAATTGAATAAAACACTGTTGATGTTTTACTGGAATAAAAATATAGATATAAAGCCATAACATGCAAGTCTGTTACCGTGCATCAAGAGCAGTCATTTGTAGTGATGTATTTCACAATTATTATTTCGCAATCGAAACTACTTATACAAAGTTTACATTTAGATTAATGATATAATGAACAAAATAGGTTCCGTTCGGAATGACAAATTTATTGAATGAATGACAAGTAGAGGCTAAAGAAACAAAATCTATTAGATCAAAGTAATATAAGGTATTACGTATCTCATTAGTCATAATTATTTACCTATATTAAATGATGGCTTCTTATACATTTGATGAGCTATCAGACTTCGTTGCTTCCCAATTTTTCTTTCTCATCATCTGCACAAACTGTTTAATGATCCTCTAACGTACGTCACGTCATTAAATTCGTATATACTTTTCAGAAACATGGCCTCAAATTAAGAGAATTTGAGCTCTCTGCCTTTTCGTCATGAAACCGTTTTTCATTGACAAATTACAATTAATTATTAATCTTGTTAAATATGAAAACACTAACCAGTGGGCGACTTAGCTTATCGCAGCAACCCACTTGACTGATTAGATAACAATTGCTTAAATTTTGTTATATGCATCATATTAGGAACTTCATACTAGAGAACGACGTTCCTTAATTTGATGTCATTTGATGTTAGGTTGACAATGAGACATGCATGAACTAGTTTTGGTTTAAAATCGTTATCATAAAACGGAAATGAATCAGCAAGTGGAATGAAACCGTATGAGGAGTGAGCATTCATACGTAATAGGTATGCATGATACGAGCTTGAGCTCGTGATGCAGTGAATTAATCCATGCTACAATATTTTTTATGTACGTACGACTTAATACTTGCTGAGGATACAAATTTAATTTGTTATCACGAAATGTTAATGAATTCGCTAAAATATGTCTTTTATTATTTTTAATTAAACTTCCTCCGCGGTCGAGCGTCAAGTGTGAGAGAGTGACATGATGTTCTTATCAGATGTTTACTCCTCATATCTTCTTGCATCAAGGTTCTGTAGCATCAGTGTTTCAGTGACTGAAATTGCTGATCAGTTATGCAAGAGTTTTCGCAACATGGCCTGCAAATTTTTTCCGAAACCTGCCACCAACATTTCGTTCGTCTGATATCAAACTAGCAGCAAATGCTATAATGATGCTCAACGGCGCTGGCCTTCACTCTTTATAAATAAATACTCCCGATATACCGAGATCTGAACGCTACGCTGTTTGTTTGCTAAGGCTCTTGGTGTGAACTGAAGAACTGCCCTGTCACCGTCAGCTTCCCTGTTGATTCAATTTATTTTTAAAACTTCGTGATGACTGAATAAACTAGCTAACTGAAAATGTACTCGTACAACGCGATTTCGTACAGAATTCAAAAAGTTCAGTCGAGATGGGTCACCTTGCTCACAAACACGATATATATAATATTGTGTTAAGTAATATTTATATGCCAATTAATCCAACCAAAAACCACCCAACTGAAATTGTCGTACATGGGCACTAAATTTCTATTTTTTTTACACGCCCGTAATGTGAAGATGCTTTACGTGAACCATATAGTATTCTAGTTAATAGCTAGATTAGTACAAGGAAAATAATGATCAAATGAAGAAGCTTTGCTTCTAAAATGAACAATTTTATCAGATATTATAAAATTTTAATTCACTCTGAAAAGTGCAGGTAACACAGGTGCCATTCGATGATTTTTGAACGAAAATTTTTACTTAACAGCAGATTGGAGAGAACATTTTCTAACAAGAAGTATTATTTATACGTAAAAACAATAAATATTCTTCTTCATGCAACAATCAGTTAAGATCTGAATCTCTTCAGTAATTTAAACTTCATAAGAACACGACATACGTACAGGGCAAGTAAGGTTTTCCGAGGTACATTACCACGGACTTAAAATGCTTCACAATATGAGACCCACTTTATTTAAATCAGCTCGGAATCAAGGATAATAGGCAATACTTTATTGAATATTGCAATGCACAGCCGTAGGATTTAAAATAGCAAAAATCACGTATCCAAAATTTAAGGATTTAAAATAGCAAAAATCACGTATCCAAAATTCAAGGATTTAAAACAGCAAAAATCACGCATTCGCTTGCATTTTTTCAATAAAGAAGGCTAATTATCGATAACTCTAATAAGAATCGCATCTACTAATAAGAAAAACCATAGTGCATTTCAGTTTATTATCCAACTGCTAACTAAAATCAGATGGATTCTGGAACGCTAAGCAAATTGTGTTCGATATAATTCGAAAACAATGGCGCTTTAATTTTTCGTTTAATTATCTAATAACCAATTAAAATATTGAAATTAACTAAAACTAGAATCAGAAAAGGGAACAAAAAAGCACTATCTACGCACAACTCTAATGCAAACTAAATTGGGTACTATAATGAGGATATCCAAAAAGTACTGGCTCGACACAGGCTGAATTCCAACAAAATTAAAGTCGAATGTTCTTCGATTGTCCTTTTGCACAATATTTTTCAAAAAATTGTATCGACTATTAGGTAATTTTTATCTTTACTAGAATTAAAAGTTTCAACATGAAAACAATACACAATTTCATCCCACAACACAAACCCCTAGAAAATATGTCGCCAAAATTTGAATTGAAAGAAAGTGAAGTGACAACTGGTCAAGTATTTCTCTATTAGGATAACTAAATGATAAAAATGGAAAAATTTTCTGCTTCAAAACTTAACGGCGATTTGTCGGTGAAATGTTTTTGCTGTATAACTTAGAAATGGAAATGTACACAAGATAATTTACTAAAACATTTAGTTTTCGATCTGGACTCCCAACACAAAATCTATGAACTGCGTCTCATCTGTGCCAGCTTCTTCGATCGTTTTACACTGAACTTAAATATTGTGCCAATAAACAGAGCAAATTATAATGATATTTATACGACATATATATCACATAAATATATATTTTATGATATACTGTTTTAAAATGAAATAGAACCAAAATTGTTCTCGCAACGCAACAGCATTCGAGGTTGAAATTAGGCATTATTCTTTGAGCGAAATTTCGGCATTCGCTGGCGATGCCAAGCCAGAGGCCTTAGGCGAAACCATTGGTTCGTCACTCATTGTCATGGTTAGAATGATGTCCTCGCTCACTGACGGGACTCGTTGAGGGACTCTTGACGAGGTACTTCCCGGAGACTGGTTCAGTGAGCTGTTAGGCAGAACGGGTTTGCTTGCATCGAAAGGACGGGCACTGAATCGTCTCTCGATCCACTTCAACATCGTTAGAACTGAATCTGTGGACGGCAGTCGATGGTTTGCCACGGTTTTAACATTCTTGGATGCAGTTACACGGAATGAGATTGCCATGCCTTGCAAGGCTTTCATGGCATCTTCATCCGTTTTATCATCTCCGGCAAATATGACTGAGATCCTGTCACTCCAGTCCACACCAAACAGGCTACATAGAATTCGTATCGCTGCGCGGCCTTTGTCCCAAAGAACTGGAGGGCGAGCTTCGAAGGCCTTGTGCGAAGGATGCGGCTCAATCCCTGCACTCACGAAGCATTCTTCCGCCTTAGCAATTATTTCGGCTGCCAAATCGTCGGGTACTTCTCTGTAGTGGAATGTCATTCCAATATCTTTATCCTCCAACCAAGCTCCATGCTTGCAGACTGGTTTCAGCAATTCGCGAAGTTTGTCTAACTTTTCATTGAATTCGTGGGGCACAGGATGAACGAATTGCGAGCCATCAGGATGGCGGATCTGAAAGCCGTGATTACCAGCATATGTCAGCCCCTCGATTCCCACCATCTTCATAACGTTCTCCAAAGACCGTCCTGAAATGATGGCTATGTAGACATCAGGCATGTTGGCGAGTCTCACAAGCACCTTTTTTGTTTCAGCCGGCAGGACTGCTAGATCCGGATTTGGTGCAATGGGAGCCAAAGTTCCATCGTAATCGAGCAACAAGGCCAACTTCGAAGTTTCCGTAACATAGTGATCCAGAAACGAATTAAAATCGTCTTCCCGTAGAGGGCTCAACTTTCCAGATGGAATTTCATCAGTGTTGGCATAACAATTTACGCTTTTGAAGAACGATTCTAGCCAATAGTTCACGTCTTTTTCTCTGACCTGTCGCCGTAGGCGGAACATTCTCATTTCACGTTCTTCTTTGGGCATTGTAATAGCACGGTGAATTGTTTCTGCATAGAGCTCAGTTTCGTAAGGGTTCACTTGGAGTGCTTCAGTCATGTCAATGCCAGCTCCAGCAAATGGCGACAGTACCAAGACGCCAGGTTCCTTGGTTTGGCAAGCGACGAATTCCTTGGCCACTAAGCTCATGCCATCGCGGAGCGGTGCCACCAGAGCCACAGACGAATCCCGGTAAAAAGCTGCCAATTGTTCTTGAGAAACATATGCACAAATATAGCGGATGGGAGACCAGTTGGCTGTAGAAAAACAACCGTTGAGTTTTCCAATTTCTGTGTCCAATTCATCTTTTAGATCCCGATACACTTTCATGTCTGTCCTAGACGGGACCACAACCTGAATGAGGACAACTTTTTCTCGATGCTCAGGATGATTCTTCAATAGCCGTTCGAAAGCTTTCAGTCTATGAACGAGGCCCTTGGTGTAGTCAAGCTGGTCGATACCTAGCATGATTAGTTCCTCAGGATTGTTCTTGACCACAGCGGGCGCAGATTCCGCAAGAGCTTGGAAACGCTCGTACGGAATGCTGATGGGCAAAGCACGAACTGAAACGGTTCGGTTGTTGTGCTCAACGAGCATCCTTGCCCGATCAGTTCTGCATCCCAGTCTTCTTTGACAGCAGTCAATGAAGTTGAAGCAATAATCTTCAATATGGAAACCAATGAAGTCAGCACAAAGAATGTTTTGTAGAAGTTCATCATCCCAGGGGAAAAGTCTCATTATATCCCACGAAGGAAATGGTATGTGCAGGAAGAAAGCAATTTTTACTTTTATTTTCTCAGCATCACATATATTACGGATGAAATTCGCTACGCACATCATTTGATAGCCATGAATCCAAACCAGAGGAACGGAATTTGGTTGCCTCTCCAGGGATGTTTTCACGGCGTTTACCGCCTGGATTGCGAACTGCTTGTTGACAGCCAAGTACGCCTGGAAAAATACAAATACAAATTTCAGGACGGTAACATTAAGGGCTGATAAAATTAATTTGAATTATTATTCATTCTCCCCATTTACAATATTACATGAAGCCAGTGCGTCGCTGACGACGATAGTTTACAGAGCGAACTTTACCTGCCACTTTTCCGACCGGAAAAGTGCCCTGTCGGGCATGGAGTGGAAAAGCGGCCAGAAGCACGAATGGCAACAACCGTTGTAGAAATCATCGAATAATTGGTGCGGCAAGATCACCGGAACCACCTTGAATGGAAAAGTAATACCTTATTAGATGCGAATGCAAAACAAGAACTAATTTCTTAAAATTGCTTTGAAATAACTAAACTTTTCAGCGTGCAAAACAAGTACCTATCAGACGCAATTTTTATAAAATCATTTTTTTTTTTTGTTAGTTTCTAATTAGCTCAACAGGTTAGGTCCTGAAAACGCTATAGGTACAAGTTCATTAAAATTTCTTCAAGTTTGACAAGATTACCGATTAATTATTTTATTCACAATATTACAAATGAATTATTAACATCAAACTTAAAATAGATGCGCTGCATGAGCTTGCTTAGCTCAATTACTAAATTAATATGATCAGACACATTTCAAAGTAACTAATCCTATAGCGCTGACATTAAGGTAAGATAATTACAAACGAGGGATTAAAATCTACAGCAGGAGCTGGAGCCCCGATAACTGAACTTAAAATAGTTTCTGGTTGACTTACATAGCGTCTACTTCACAAACTTGACTTCTCAATTGATCGAACAGATCGTTCAATGATTTACGATTCAGGGTAAAATGGCATGAATGAAAATATCGGCCCGTTCAGATGATAGATTCCGTAATTAATATATTATAGAACTCTTCAGGACTTGATGTGCAAGGCAATGACTAACAAAGGAACCTGTTCAGTTTTTAGGCCTGCAGAAGGAGAGTCGTCGTCAGGGCTGGGCTCAGGGATGGGGCCAGGTTTGTCCTCCTCGTATATGCCGGGCCAGCCAACCCACAACCCGCCTGTCTCAACCACAGCCGGCGCCACGGCGGTCACTAACCCACTTGGACTGCCAAGGGGAAGAACAACATTCGCTGGTCAAAGAGTTCGCTTTGAAAAGAGGCCTAATTTTTAAATTGTCATTGTTGCATGCAAACCAACAAACGTCCTGACAAAAACAAGGAATCTTGTGCCAAATTTTCATGAACGTAAATCGTAAAACATAAATGGCCAAAACTTTTCGCAGACAGCGTAACGCTGCTCGAGACGATGTTTTGGTTAAAAGAGGTGTATGTTCGTCGGAAATTTTTCGCATTAATAGAGAATATTCGCCTTCTAATCAACAACAAAAAAGATTTGTTTACAGCGGATTAATTCATGTAGCGATTAGAAGCTTCACACATTTCTACTACGATGAGCACTTCATACTATTTCATCGTCTAACGCAGGAGTCTTCAAATTTTTTTCACCAAGGGCCAAGAGCAACTCTAACAAATTATAGGGGGGAAATATTTACCTTAAAGAGATATAAATCTTCATAAATCTCTTCACATTAAAGACATTATTTTTGCATAGTGCGACGCATGTAAGATAGAATAGACATTCATTACTAAAAAATCGAACGTTGATACAGTCGCCAGACGCGGCAATGTAAATTTAACTCACCATTGCTTTCGAACTCGATTGCCTTTCGCATCTTCTACGACGACGAATGGCAGGCTGTTGGCGACCACCACAAGAGGTGATGTTGATTGAAGCACCATTGCACACTGCCAGACTACAGAGCACTCTCAGTTATTCAGTTGTCCTTCACTTTGAACGACCTATCATATCAAGCTGTTTACAATTGCCACAAAAACAAGGTTAGCACGGAGCGGAATACTATCTTATTTTGGATTAGCAATGAAAGCCGCACTTTTTAAACCATTGGCTGCACTAAAGAGAATTCTTAGAGCTAACCTCTACGCAGCTAACTACACCGCCCCTCAAGCTCTTTTCTTGGCATCTACTGACTCGGAGCTACCAACAGCGCATGCCTCGAGTTGCCGGCCATGGCTCTCCGGTGCAGATTGGGTTAGAATGCGCACTGCAATGTAGCTGTCTGACAGCAGGGTGTGCGTGATTCTGCCGAACTATATTTGTTTTACAGGAATCGAAATACTGATTTAATCTGTAACGTATGTGGACTAGTATTGCATTTTATTAGTTATCTATTTATCATCTTAGCTTTTATTGCAACTTCTTCTTCAAATCCCTGCAATAAATATGAGCTTCAGTAAAATAATTCCTATGATCTGCAAACAACTTTGCCACATAATAAACTATTAACCATTTGCATGACATTTACTTATCCAAATAGCTTGAGAATCTCATGTTTCAGTTCGGGCCACAGTTTTTTTCGCTTCTCATAAATTGTCGCCCTCGCTACTTGAACGTATGCTTTGACCTCATGTCACTGCTGACCTTCACGTTGACTTTCCGCAGCTTCGAATTTCTCGAAAATCAGTCTCACGGCTTATCTTTAATTTCAATCTCACAGAAAATTTGATTCTCTTTTTATCACTCTAAAGCATTTTTCAGTCGTTGACATAAGCATAATGCGATTATTCGTGATCGCACGGCGCACTTTCTGAAATTGCTAATTCGTGTAATCCCTGATATTTGTATCGATTACCAACAATTTCGCGCGCAATAATTCGAGTAACATTTCATGTAACTGACAGTAGTCTCTCCCACGCAATATTTTATCTCTGATCAATTATGTATAGGCTGCGTGCTCCTGAATACTCACGTGTCGCAAGAATCAATATGTCAGCCACCGTGAATGTGTCGCCGATGGAGTAGCATCAGTAGCATTTTAATTAACTCAATGCCAAAATAATAAGTGCATTGAGTGAGTTCCCTGCATGAACTTGACCGTAAACGCTGGGACAACTGAGTCTGTCCCAGCGTTGAATAACTCAATAACTCAACAACTCAATAACTTAATAACTCAATAACTTAATAACTCAATAACTCAATAACTCAATAACTTAATAACTCAATAACTTAATAACTCAATAACTCAATAATAACTCAATAACACAATAACTCAATAACTCAATAATAACTGTCCCATTCAACATTTTTCTGTCAGAAGAAATAAACAAATACAACATTTGTTACATGCTTTAGAGTTACTATTGTCATTTTTATAAGTATGTAGATCATTTCGAAGTTCAGCTTGAATATTAATGTACGTGCGAGTGAACTGAACCCACCAACGGCAGGTGTTCGTAAATAGCGAAGTAGTAGCAGCATAAACGTGAGCTGCAGACGTCATGACTTTTGACTTGGATTGAGGAGTCAGTGGGTTGTTTTTTTTTCGGACCGCCTAGCCCTAGAGGCCTAGACAGTTGTAACTTTCCACTCTATATGGCAGCGATCTGCTACTGGTCTTGCGTCGCATTTTTGGTATCGAGATATTCTTCCATAGAAATCCAGTTATCGGCATTAATTAACTCATGCACTGCCAACGCCTGAGGTGCATCACATTCACTTCGGTAAAATTCATGGTTAATCTATGAATCTTACTCAGGTAGTATATATCGTTCTAGAGTTAGTACAATACTCGTTTGATGTTCCTCAATTTTCATCACAATGCTTACTTCATTTTCATTAGCAAATACTAAATAATTTTCACAGAAAAGAGCGTAAAACTATCAATCATCGCATTTACTTGAATACTTAGATTAGGGTTTAGATGAATGTACGTGATAAAAAACTTAACCTCTGTCGTAGATAAGTAGGAGCACAGACAAGACTAATCATATCAGCATTCCTTATCTTCATCACTCAAAAATTGCAACGTGTGAGATCGTTCTGTAAGATCAAGCACAATATAAGATATTATTAGCAAATTGTTTTAAATCTTCAGTCACTAGACCCCTTCACAATCAATTCAAATCAACTCCGAAGAATGATTATACGAGCTCACGCTTGCGAATTCTTGCAGAAAATTTACGACAATCCCTTTCCACCAGCTTTACCTTAATTTGATGGGTTCTTCAAGAATATCAATACGTATTAAACCATAATCATGGTTCTTTTTGTCAATGAAATTACGATTTTCATTTGCAAAATCAAAATTCTTTGCACAATACGAGTTGCAAGAGGGCGCAAAACTGTACTTGGGAATATATTGTGTTTATTGTGACAGCATAAGATTAATGTGGCGCACAATCACTAGAAACTTATAGGAATCTCACATTTCCACAATATTAATGCAATGCGTTGTAGCAGGTTGGATAAAATTGTTCCAGTGTCCGTAATATATTACCTAAACGAAATATGTCTAAGCATGACTAAGTTTAATATGTGTATAAAAGAAGAGAAATGTACAATAAAGGCGCATACTCGCCAAGGACGCCTACCACCGTACCACGCCAGTATGGCTCACCTCTATAAGTAGCCCATATTATCGGATTCTTAGCCAAGACGGCTCGAATAAAGTGAACCTGGGCTGTTCCCACTAACGCACTGTAAATAATTGCCCTCAGCTTCTAGACACTCTCAATTAAGATCAGTAAAAATGTTCCCTTAGCAGCAAAATCAACAAGCGTCTTGTTTGTGCATTCAAGCCTGTGCTCTCTGCCAAGATGCCCAACAATACAAATTGGTAATCCTCGCAAAAAATATCTAGAAAAAAATTTACAATTGTGTGACACGTGCTCCACTGAAATATAGTATAAAAATATAAAATTTAATAGAAATTTCTTCATGTTCACCGCTTAAAGGCAATTTTTTATCACGTATTTTACGTATGTTTACGCGGATTAACACAGCTCAGTCGTGTAATCTGTTATGTGTGAATGATAAATGTTTGTTTGTTCGAAGCCTGGCGCAAGAACTTTATGAAGGGACTATTCGGTCGAGTGAGTATCCATGATACTTCGGTAAATTACATATAGGCATAAAATTCGCTACAATCGAAACATTGAAAAGTGTGGAACATTGAAAGGTACGAGTAAGAATAGATTAAAAAATCAAAATGGGCCGCTAAATTTGGTAATTATGAATTTCATTCATAAATTAAGCAGCAATGTTTCCGGTGCGTATAAAAATAAAAATTTACATGGTTATTTTAAGCTAATTATGTTTTGAAATGTCAATTTGTTTTTTATCGGTCTTTTATTTCGAAATTATTAACTGCATTTGAGAAGACGTCATGATTCGTTATGACGGGATTCAGGATAACGGGAAACGGGATGATAGGATTTGAAATAACGGATTATCAATTCCAGGAAAGGTCGTGATAATAAACTAGTTGAATAATTTTCTGCAAAACAAAATGAATACTGAAAAAGTTATGTTCAATTTATCTTGGCCGTCCTCATTTAAATTTACTTAGTACACTTATGAGGTTACTTCTCAAAAACAAGACGATTTTGTGAACTTTATTTCGTACAATTGCTTACGATGCGACCTAGGATGGCTAGGAATAAAGGAAGCTAAACAGGCTAAGATTAAAGCCCGATTAAAATGATTACACATAATACGCCTTCACCGGTTGAAAACCTGAGGCAACGCATTAGTATCGTCATTAATTCCCCGGAGTTCTTTCCAAGGCCAAGAAAGGCCAAGTGAGGATATGCAACTTTGTGACAAATTCACGGCCGGACCCGCGGCCGGTCTCACGTGCCGCGTCACGGCCGCCGGACCAAAAACATAGAAAAAACATAGCCAATCAACGAAAACCTCGCAGGTTAGGTCCAGTTAGGAGCAGGTTCCATTAAAAACACAAAAAACCTAGAAAAACTCATAAAAACACTAAGAAAACCTTTCGGCCGCGAGACCGGCCGCGGGTCCGGCCGTAAATTTGTCCAAGACCTCAACTTTGTCATTACTATTTTTTCAACTTGCTCACAGTATGAGGAAAAAACAAGAAGAAATTTCATGTCTGAACAATATTATTATTGTGCTAGCGCATTCAAAGGTTGTGAGATAATATAATGTGAGAAATATTAATGGTAATGTAAGATATTTATAATCCTGGCTATGACCTGATTAAGAACACCTCATTTTAACCGGATCTGCCAAATTCGATCATGGCCCATCAAAGAATAATATACAATGTTAGGCTATAAATTGTCTGCGCGTTTTTGCAGAGATTCCAGTTTTCCGGAATACTTTAAAGCGTTGATGATTGATCTGTAAATGTAAATATCAAGCACTCCGCCAACGACTGATGACACAGTCACACTGCTAAACACTGCTGTTGCGGTAGTTTTCTAGACTAATGTAAACAATGGCTGGCTACGAAAAGTTAGAAAAAATTGGAGAAGGTATGTATGTTTCAAAGTTAGAAAAGTGAAGAGTTTTTGATGGAAAACCTGTTGAAGTTGCTGATTTCTAATAAGTCTAAAAATTAAAAAAGTTCTAAACTTCTAACCAAGTCGGCAACTGGCAACTTGGCAAGTAGTACATGTACCAACGGCAACAGCCAACTTAGTCAGTACCTACTCAGTCTTGACTCATGGGTACAATCTGTACAAATTTATATCAATTGAGTGATCATTTTATAGGTGGAGATGATTATGAATCTTGGAAATTGTTTTTGGAATGATCAGTGGCTGAGAATGAACCAAGCTGCAAGAGTGAATATGAGATCAGATAGGGTAAACGTGGTATATTCCGACATTGTAGGTAATTCCGTCACCTCTCCAGCTTTTCCTTTATATTAAGCTTTGTTTTAGTTCCATGCGTTTGTTGATGGTTGAAATGGTGACGTCATGCATTTGCGAGTCAAAATACTGCCAAAACACTAGGTCTTGGCCATCTAGTGCAGGATGGAATTCTAATTTTGGACGTTCATATATTATTTCGATCCACCAAGACCACTTTTTCTACCCAACATCGTTATTTGAGGCAAAAAGTGAACTTCTTAAAGGCATAAAATACATAGGCTAACTTGCTCAGTTTCTATAAAGTACCTAACCACTTGGAAGTTTTATGCCTGCACCTTTCACTCAACAATTAAACTTAGACTTATATAAAGTATTAGTTAGTTAAAAATTTGTCTCTTAAGTTGA